ATTTCCTCGAGCGATTTCAAAATTCGCGGCGATCGGGCGATAAAAATCGCTCGTGTGCCCCTACCATTAACAAAGGACTGAACTGCTTTTGCTATTGGGGATGTGAGGCTACAGTTGCACAGTTCAATTGCAAAGGCAAATGTTTGTTGAACAAGGTTTACGCTCCTTAAATCATATTATTTTCTAAAGCAGTCTGTATTAGCACCCTGAGTAGCACCCTGTAATAGCACACTGTAATGAACCCTGAATGCTCGCGTGTGTAGGCAAAAACATGGGGGCAGCCCATTACGCATGCATGGGGGTGAACTGGCACTATTCTAATCATAATTATTGCCTGGCAACCTGCAATGCAGATGTGTTAACTCACAGCTGAGCGAAATTCTCGCCTGCCTGAATATACTTGGATTTCAGCAACTCAATGGAGTGAGGTTATCACGCACGAAGGGTGATGCCATCTTTGATTATTGATGACACTTGCACGCGCCATCTCTCAGCAACTGCTTTTGCTATTAGAGCCCCTTCCACCCGCCCCCTCTCCCCACTCTCCTTCCACCACCACCACTACGCTCGCGCTCGACGCATATCCATGATAACATGTTAATTATTGCGAAGTCAACTTAAATATTGCGAAGTCATTAAAGTTACACAGCTGTATCTTTATTAGTATACTACCGGTATATAGCAAAGCCTAGCTATCATAGATTTTAGATCTGTATTAGTAGTATCCTAGATATATGCTCTGAGCGCGAACGCGGTGATGGGAGGGTGCTCTTCATTCGTTTGCCAGTGAGTTTAGCATCAGATCACCTGCCGTCAGGTGAGCGCTGTCGCTCTGCGGCACTTGTTTACTACAAGTTTTACAGCAGGCACGTTACTCGTATCCTATGTAATAAGATTTGGACTAATAAAAGTTGCAAAGATATTAATAGTATGCGGATTGTGCGCCCATTTACCTCTTTCAAATCATACGCTGTTAACAAATCTCCATTCGCTGGATTTCCCCCGAGCTCCGCCCACTTTAAAAATAGTGCTAGCATTGTGGCAGTGGTATATTGAGTGTGCGAAGGGGCACTGCATGCAGTTTGGGTTAGGGTTAGTGTTAGGGTTAGGGTACACTTCTGTAGTACAAGTCTGGTACACTTTGTGTATACATATATTGTAACGCTGAATTAAGAGTTCATGTAGAATGATGTAGAAACAGATGCAAACTTGTGTGGTAAACGGTACAATCTTTAATATTCATGCTCACTGTGTCGTCACATCGCACAACGAGACAAAGACACGCGCACACGCGCGACCGCGCGTCCTCTCGCGACCAGCACTAGACCCAATCTCCCCTCAAACTCTACTATCCCCCAAAAACTCCTACAAACATCCTGCCCGCACATGTACCCGTTCTCAGAGACTAAGCCCTACCCCAATTTCACACCTACTCTCGAAACGGCCTAACCTAACCCTGCTTATCCAACCCCTGTAACATCAATGTAGCCAATCTGGTTGAGCGACGCTGTCTAGCTGAACTATATGGCTAAAACAACTACCAGTCTATCTCCACTCAACTAATTCATGTACGCGTATAATAGACGTCGTTACAATATGTACCTCGGGTACATATCTCTGTAGTACCTGATACGACAATGACCCCTTGAGCGCTAGTACATGTGAGCTAGCTATGACTTAGCTCCAAGAAACGGTATTGCTAGGGTTAGAATACCGACGTTAGTATGTGTATATTGACGTTAGTCACACAGCCTGGTCGGGTTAGCTATGACTATGACTATGACTGAGTGTATCAAGAGTGAATAAAAACAAGGCTGTGGCTACGGGTACGGCAGCCGTATCTTAGTGTCTCGAGGCTGGAGGTACGGCAGTCCATTCGCTTTCATACTTAACGAGACAAAGATGGCGGCGGGCGGCGGAACGCCTTGGGAAATAAATTTACGATTTGAGAGTTTAGATGAGCTAGAACCCTAACCCTAACCCTAACGCCAAAAAGGGGCTTTAACGAATGACGGCTGCCGTACCTCCAGCCACTGCGTAAAAACAAATGTATTTGAGTGTATTTGCACCAAGTTTTTGTTTTTATTTTATATTCACTCCTGAACCAACTTCAAAGTATAAGAATTTATATATATTTTTATATATTTTATGAATATTGTGTTCATGGTATAATCCCGGGGGTGGGGGCACTCACCCCGGCCAACATTATACATGTGTCTAAACCATTGGTCTAAACAGACTAACAGAGGAATTACTCCGACCTGTGATTGGAGGATAAAAATAGACCCTGCCCACTCCCGCCGCATACGCTATTATGCTATATGACTGGTAGGAACGTGTACTAACTATCATATGGAGCGAACGATTTGAGTTACATTTCTATAAATTCTAGCTATTATAGACACATGTCTTAGCCTTAATCTCTGTAAATTTTGAGTCTATTGAAGCGCGATTAGTCTAATTAATTAGCAAATATGCACGCGCGGCTATGACCGGTGAAACGAAACGTCACGAATTCTATTTTTATCCTCCACTCACAGGTCGGAGCAATTCCTCTGTTTAGACGCATGTCACATTATGGTAGGTATGTGCCACTGCAAAGTCAAAAATGGGGGGCTCTAGAACTAACTCAGACCTGAAAATGGGGGTCTCTGGAACTAATGTTTGTTGAATGTGGGATGCTCTGGAACTGGCTATATGTTCGATCCATCCATCCATATGCGCATGCGTTGCATGCATGCCTTCACGGCCTGGCTTCAACGTATTCCGAAGTACGATGCACTGGAACGGAAATAGGGTCTCCGGTACGGCAAAAATGTAAGATCTGCATGCTAACTAAACTTGTGATGCTCTGGAACGAGATGTTCTTAAAAATGCGATGCACTGGAATGGAAGTTTAGGGTTAAAATGGGGGTCTCTCCCGTAGCACATGCCTACCATGCAATATATATGGAGTGCCCCCCACCCCCGGGGGTATAATATACCTATATATATACTATATGGTTCTTCGTGTGTGCACTTTGCTCCTACCTCCTACTAATGCAATGATAGCTAGATAGCAGCAAGAGCGTATAAAGAAGGAGAGCGTACAACGGTGAAATGCTGAAACCATGTTGCAGCATTAGTCTAATTAATAAACTTTTCTCGTTTTATTTTGACAATTCTTTGCAGTATTATTGATCAGCTGTCCTACCTTGTTAATATAAAACAAACCGCATGTCCCTACGATGAGATAATGAGCGGCGAAAATCTGGTATTTTCGCCGAAAACCGACTCGAGATCACAGTTTACTGTGACTGTCTCTCGCTTTGAGATAACTTAGGGAAACCTCGCGTGTTTCCGTCAATGATTGACAAATGGAATGAATGACGTCAGTTATTGATTGCCATAGTGATGACCCCCACCTGTGCCCACCTCACGCTGGATGTATAGTAAACTCTGTAGTACTGACGTGAGTCAGCGCTACCATGGCACTACACAGCGGCGACCGGAAGCAATACACTGCCCACAAAGCGAGAGAGGGTCGCAGTAAACAGTGATCTCCAGTCGGTTTTCGGCAAAAATACCAGATTTTCACCGCTCATTATCTCAGCGTAGGAGCATCGTAGGGACAAGCGGTTTGTTTGATATAATTAGCAAGGTAGGACGGCTGGTCAATAATACCGCAAAGAATCGTCAAAATAAAACGGGCAAAGTTTCTTAATTAGACTAATACTGCAACATGGTTTCAGCAGTCACTGCTTTTAAAGTTATTGTGCTTTTGTAATTAACTTGTATGAAAACGACATCGGTGCTGTAGCAGTAGCACAAATGAAATATAGGCAGCACCAGAAACAGCAACAGTAGCAGTAACAGAAGTTTTGCACCAGTTACACCAGCAGCTCAGTATTAGCAGCAGAACAGGCACTGTTTTATAACAAGCTAAAGAATGGTGAACAAGTTTGCATTTTTATTGTTAGTGGTGTTTTGCAAAATGCACATGAGAATTAATGTTATCATTTTTCACAGAATCAGCTAGTGATTTTTCACCCCCTAATTAGGCATAATATATGATTTCAATTTCATGCACATATCTTTACTCGTAGAGGTAGATCTAGTCATAATGGTACTGAGGCTGTGTCTAACAAGGCATCCTTTTATGCTGACATTGCAGGCAAAGGAAACCATGCAAGCAGCTAAATGACTATGGCTACACTCTGCAACTGAAGTCCACCACATTTATTGAATGTGAAACATCATGTCTGTCTAAAGAGAGGAAAATCAGTTTCCCAGGCGATGTGCATTATTTGCATAACAGAGGGGTAATTGGACCTATAAGCTATTGCAATGGCTACATCAGCCTGGCAAACGTTGAACCAACTTTTCCACAGTCTCTCTGCCATCTCAATAATGACAATGGCACGATGGTGACTGCATGTTGATGCAGCTGTAGTTTGTGAGGCAGAGATTTTGCATGAAGACATTTGTGATACTGATCACCTGATGTGTCAGGTAAAGCCATCACTGCCCTGCTATCAGAAGTTGCCAAATAGTGTTGACGCCAAAGTCGGCTCAAGAGTAGTTTATGCATCACCATCATTGCCATCCCCATATAAAATGGAAAGCCTATCAGCAAAGAAGTGTGTTGGAATAGTCAACCCAAAGTCCAAATCAGATCAATCAACTGATAAGGTAAAAATGGAGATGCCTACAAAATCAGACAAAGATCTTCCAGAAGAACTGCAATTATGTAATGCCTTATCATTGTTAAAAGTTAACAAAGAGGCTACGAAAGATGAAAATCTTTCTGACAAATATCAAGTTCAGAAGCAATCGGGCATTATTTTAGTTGGCGAAAATAGTTCAAGTGCAGCTGACATTATGGGCAACCAAAACTGCATTTCTAACACTCATAAGGTTGATGTTATTGCATCAGATGAGGGATGGTGTAAAAAAGGCAAGGACCATGCTCATGTAACACAGGTTCACAATGACAGTGCCCTCCACTTGGCAAAGGCGAATAAATTGGAAAATGCAGAAATAACCAATTTAACTGATTTGATTGGTGGAGTGAAACTATCGCCAAATTCACGTCATCAGCAGCTTAGTGATGTAGCTGCTAATATACCTGATACAGATTCACATATCGACAAACTGTCATCCATATCCCCTGGCGAGAAGCAAATGCTGATAAACTTTATCAAGACATGTTTGATACCTAGAGGTTGGCCAAAGAAGCGGCCTTCTGCAGAGGATGGTGGTGGTGTGCAGAAGCACCAGAAACCCATATCCGACCTTACTTCTAGTTGTGAATTGCCTGAAGAGTTCCCAGTGTCATTTTTTGTAACACCCAGTTCGGTGCTAAGTGGGACCGAGAATGATGAGCGAGATTATTTGCCACATGCGAACCTCAACCCTAACCCTGTGCCACCAAACACGCTGGTAGGCGAAGGAGAGATGGTAGGTCAGAACAGGTTGATTGGGTGTGGTGATTCCCACTCTGCACAAGGGACTGCTGTCACATCTCTATTTTCGAATGCCCATAGGGATTTCTGTCAACCATATGCAGTTGAAAATGCAGCCCATGAGAGCCGTCGCGCCAATTCGAGCTTGCCACCAATTAGTCCTGAATCGGGTTATCACTCTGATGGACCAAACATGTGCAGCCCTCCAGTTACCCAGCCAGATATGGATGTGGAGGCTATAGTTCAGTTGTGCGATGAAATGTTTGACAAAAATTTGTGTGTGCCAGGCACTGCCAGGAATTTATCAGATCTCATGAACTATCTAAAAAATGATAACCATCAATTGCATTCTTGTCAGGATAACAACAGTACCTATGACTGTACTACAGCCAGTAGATTGGATGCTTCACCTCTGGGAATGGTCGCGGAATCACCAGAAGTCTGTTCGGCATCAGTTGTTAGTTACAGCTTGGAAAGTGTGCCTACTGCAACTGCATACAAGGGTCCTGTGTCTCCGCTGGCAACAAGCACAGGTTGTTTAAGTAGTCCTGTACTAAGTGCTGCTGATTTGCAAGAAAGAAATTTGATTTGGTGTCAACCTGCAGCGCCAACTGCGAATCTTATGATGTCTGTTGCACCAACAAGTGCTACAGCCTCCATAGCCACATCAGTACCAGGTAGGCCAGTGAAACCTCAGGCATGCGTTGTTCCTATACAGTTGACGCAGGTACAAGTTCGACATCAGGCAGTGATGGCTAGTCGTGCAGTGCAGGTGCATCCTCTGCCAACTGAGCATCAATTTTTCTTCCTGATCCCAGTGCCGCAACCAGCAAATCGGTACAGACCCATTCAACCCAGACCCGAAAAGCCAGACGTGCAGCTTTCATGCCCACAAGATGACATAGCTGGAACAGCAGCGCAGCCAGGGAACGCGGCAAGAAGCTGCTCAATGTCTTCAGGTAGTATGTTGGATGATGTCTGCTAGTTGGTGGCCGTTATAATTGATGAGGGTAATAGAGGCTTTTGAGTTTTTAGTCAGTCATGACCATTGGCACGATCTAGCTCGCAATAGTGTCATAAATGTATGTTACATCAGATGCCCTCTGCACATTTCAGCACTGCTTTCATTAGGAGTATAGCTTATACTAATTTTAAATATTATAATGAACCCATATCCTCTACACTGTTCTTTGTGCCATACTTTATAATTGATTGCAAGGAGTGGGTTAGCATCAACAGATGTGGTTCCACTGAATTAGCTTCTAGAACTGCAAAGATAGTTGACATTATCAGGGGTCGAAATTAGATTTTTATTATGGTATCCATTCGGGATACCATGTATTGAAATCTGGTACCCCCCCCCCCAAAGATCTGGTATCCCATTTTTTGGATAGTTTGGATTGGATTCAACAATGTTGGTATCCAAAATCTTGAAATATGCAATAATAGAATTTGAAAATTATTATATAAAAACAGATTCACAGATATGCACAGACAAGTACACTGCAGACGTATGTCTAGACGCATTGTCTGGTTCGCTTGATACAATGTATACACATCACATTTATGATCAACATCTGCTACGCTTACACTTACGCTTGCGCTTGCAAATATGCTCAACAACCAAGTGCTATCCCGATTTTGACGATTTTTTTTTCACTATCCCGGCGGGATACCAAGCATTGAAATCTGGTATCCAACACAAGAATCTACTATCCCGCGGATATCGGGATACCACTAATTTCGACCCCTGATTATAGTAGCAATGAAAGCTAGACTAGATCAACCTATTATAGTATCATCATGCAGGTTCTTCTAAATGTTATTAATTTTTCTTGCTGTTCGTACCTGAAATTTGTGTGTAGTGATGCATTATATCAGGAGTGAATAATAATAGGATCTAATCTATTATTATTCACTCCTGATTATATGTAGTAGCCCTTGCATGGACAAGGTTTGATACATTCTTAGTGTATTTCAGATATGGATGTCATTGCGCACAAAATGGTGAGGATCGAGTCGGAGACAGAGATCAATCAGATACGTCAACTGTTTTTGGAGTCACTAAATCAGGATACTGTATGCAAATACAACAAGCTTATCGTAAAGGACGCTGAGGATATGTATACTAAGCGCAGTGAGCCAAAAGGATGGTCGTAAGTTCTATAGCTTGTAAATATTTTATTCTCGAGTATAAATTAAAGGGAGAGTTTACTCTAGGTTCTAGGGTTATTTTCAGCTAATTTAGGTTATAATTACGCTACATAAAAAGTTTCATGGTTCAATCACCTTTAGAAATATTTTTTTAAATGTTTTAAAACTAACGACTACAGTTTTATTACAACGACGGTGGCGCCACTCAAAGCGCACGATCTGATAAGTTGCGCAAAACCACTTTCCAGCCAAGGGCTACAGATGGAGGGTGTTTCTTATTTATTCATTTAAAAGCAAAAGGATTGTAATATCTCATAAACGACATATACTATAGTTTCAGTTATAATATGGATAAATTTGCCCTAAAATGAATATTGTTCGGTTAAATAGCAATTAGGTATAAATATAATTGCACTTTTGTGATTAGCCCTCGGTCTGTAACGTGCAAAATAAATTGTCAAATACGCAACTTTTTCGGGGTGGCAGCACGGTCGCGGGTGTTATGGCGCCGTTCAAATTTCGTAGCGTTGATGTGTAATTAATTATAACAATTAAATTAGGTATCTGGTAACAAATACGTGTGGGTATAGACGATTTGTTATACAGTAAGTGCAGTAAATCCTAGAGGCTACTGTAAATCAGAGTATAGTAGAAGCACAGATATTTAAAGATGCACTGTTGAATTGTTGTAAGGGTATGCATTATTTAAAAAATATATATATATTCATGAACACATATGTTCATGCAGGGGCGGATTAAGGCTCACTGGTGCCCTAAGCACTGACCAATCTTGGTGCCCCCCTCCTTTCCACACTGACCCAGTCCATTTTAGTTGTTGACCTGTCTGACCAAATATACAATGCAGGTTGCAGCAGTACAACAATTTATGTAGGATTTCAAGGAGGGTGGTGATAAACAGGCGGGGGTATGGGGGTCCTCCCCCAGACCTTTTTTAAAATCTAGATCGCAGGAGATGGTATTTGAGGCAATTTTGAGTGTACATGCATGTACACCTTCATTCTGACGACAAGTCAATCTATTAGTTTTTTTACACGTTTCAGTTGTGAGAAAGACCTCTCTGTTGTGCAGTTGCTGACCGTTAAAGGGACAGTAGCCTCTAGGATTTTACTGCATACAACTGTACTTACTGTATAACAAATCGTCTATACCCACATGTATTTGTCACCAGATACTTAATTAATTATTTACACATCAACGCTACGAAATTTGAACGGCGCCATGACACCCGCGACCGTGCTACCACCCTGAAAAAGTTGCGTATTTGCATTTTTATTTTGCAGGTAAATGACCGAGGGCTAATCACAAAAGTGCAATTATATTTATACCTAAATGCTATTTAGCCGAACGATATTCATTTTAGGGCAAATTTATCCATATTATAACTGAAACTATATGTCGTTTATAAGATATTACAATCCTTTTGCTTTTAAATGAATAAATAAGAAATACCCTCGGTCTGTAGCCCTTGGCTGGAAAGGTTTTGCGCAACTTCTCAGATCGTGCGCTTTGAGTGGCGCCACCGTCGTTGTAATCAAACTGTAGTCGTTAGTTTTAAAACATTTAAAAAAAATATTTCTAATGGTGATTGAACCATGAAACTTTTTATGTAGCGTAATTATAACCTAAATTAGCTGAAAATAACCCTAGAACCTAGAGGCTACTGTTCCTTTAATGTTAAAAATATTCTTAAGGCAATTTCAACATTTGGAAAGGCACTCTTATTGTGTTGTAAAGTTCCATGTCAGTGAAAGATGTTTTTTTGGTTGTTTTAAACTTATGAAGAACATATGAATGGAACTGCTGAAGCTCTGTAGACAAAGTGTTGTTCATGTCATCTGGATAACCCCCCCCCCCCCCACTCAGTGTTATTTAGGGTACGCATATGCTCGTTGCCTCCCTTTGAAAGCACCCCCTACCCCATCTCAGGACTGCTAAAATTTCTGAACCCCCCTTTTGCGGGCTTTTTGCGGGTTTTTTCCTGCCTTGGAGAACCCCCTAAATCCGGAACACTACGTATAGACTGGTACCCGTTCGCCACCTTCACTCAGGTACGTATCCTTCGCTACACTGACGTCGTGACGTTAGTGTAGCGTGTGGAACTGTCGACCGGGTACCAGTCTACACTACGTAGTGTAGAGTTCAGTGAGCGAGGGGAACTAGGGAGCAATATTTTTATTTTTCAAAATGAAATAATCCTGAATGAGCTTTCAGGAATTTCAGGAATTTGATCCCGAGATTTGATAAAGTTTTCTATGACATTCAAGATGAAAGAGAGAGAGGAAAAACACTCCCTTTTTAAAGAAATCTCCGGGTGAAAAGTCAAATACACCCCCTTTTTTACAATTCATGGGCCGGATTTTGTCGCGCGAAAAATACCCCTTTACCGGAGATTTTGGGAACGCGCATGAGGTCCTTCCGACTTCGGAGTGGGGGGGCCGGGCTGGATAAGCATCAATGAGTGTCTGACGTGAAGTCTTTGAGTACCTTTCACTTTCTGATAATTGGGAACTAGCACCTTGTTGGGTGGCATTAGGGGTCCCTTGTATTGTATTGTATTGTTGGGGGCCCCTTGTGGTACACCTGGGAAGTACAAATCTTTATTCGTTTTTTTTTCTTTTCACTCTTTTCCCAACTTTGTTGTGCCCCCTTTGGCCCTGGTGCCCTAAGCACGTGCACTGTGTTCATGGTATTCAAGATGAATTTTTCATTTACAGCGACTATTCGGGTTAATTACGTAAATTACGTTTCAATGTTCAGCATTAATTCTTCTTTATGTATCCTGCATGTAATTGTTTTGTAGAATACTGCATGAGGCTGTGGCAGAGATCAACCGAGAGATGATATGGTGCATGACAGATCATTATTTAAAAAATACACGAAACCATTGCCAACCGAATAATTACATTTGGAAATCACTTGATCACGTTGCAAGAAATGGTCAAGTGAGTGATGTATATTAAACTGCATGCTAAGCTGTCACTGTGCATGTCCATAGATGCATTACTTATTTTAGCTTTATACTCGCAAGCTAAAATAGTAGCATTGATAGTGTAATTTCTTGCTATGTGGAAACAAGAAACGATCGTTGTGTAAAATAACACCCTGTGGTAGCAGGTAGAAGCAGCATGAAAGAACATTCTTTACGTGTTTATGCTTCAGTGTGTGTGTACGTGCGTGCGTGCGTGCGTGCGTGCATGCATGGCATGGCATTGCATGGCATTTACGCAACTTGCCATGATTTTACAGACTCCGTTACAAATGGCAACTGGCATGGCAAGAACAGATATTGCATCATACTTGGTGGCAAGTGGTGCTGATCCAAACACATGTCATTGGTGTAATGATGGTCATGGCGAACCAACCGGCGATGCGCCACTCCATGTTGCAGTGACTAGGGGAGATACCGCTACTATCAACGCTCTCTGCAAGTTCAGGAGAACTGATGTCGATGTGATGAACTTTGATGGTAATGTGAGACTTTGTCGTATTCCTGTTGTTGTGTGTGCTGTGACAAATGCTGTTTTATTTACTTGTTTATAGTTGTTGACACTGACTTTTCTACGACTCTCTGTTTCTACTGACTTCTCTGTTTTATTACAACCACAAGGTTAAAAGAGAAATGAGTTTTCATTAAGGGAATACACATCTTTGTGTTTGTGATTAAGGCAGAAATTAATTCCCTGGTTCAGATGGGTGACAGTTTTTGTTTGCATTGAATAATGGCTTTAATTGTGCTCAAATTCAGCTCAGTTTTCAAGGTGTATTGTTTTCACAGGATACACGCCACTCCATCTAGCAGTGAAAGTGAAAGGGAGAGAAACCTCACTGGCTTTAGTCGATCTACTTCTGAACTATGGAGCCAATATCAATTTACAGGTATGATCATAGCAGGAATGGTCATAATAGAGAGTCGGAGTGGTTGGAGTGGACGGTCGGTGTGGAGTTGTCAATGTGTCGGTGGAGTGAGTCGGTGGTTGTCGGTGGAGTTGTCGGTGTGGAGTGGACAGTCGGAGTGGAGTTGGAGTGGTGGTGGTTGGAGTGGTCGGAGTCGGAATGCGGAGTCGGAGAGGAGTGGATAATAGAGAATCTCTATTATCCACTCCTGATCATAGTATAGGGTTGCATGCAGGCAGTATAGATTATTGGTTGAAGTAAGTGATTTTTGTTCTAACAATTCTAATAACAACAGAGCAAACAAAATCTACCCTCAAAGTGAATGTGCACTTGCAGATAGTAGAGTACAGTATGTCCGCTCTTCTCAGGCCCATTGTGTTATTTGCAAATCAGAGGTTTTCCAAAAAGATAGGAAAAATTTGTCATTGCTCAAAATTAATATAAGAACCATGAAGATAAATGAAACCATGAGTCTCACTGACATTTGCATGTCAATTAGTGTCGTATAAATTGTCGTGGATGCATGTACAGAAATTACTAAAAGGGGAGCAGTGGTGGTGTATAGTATTTAGCACTCGGGATATTTTACTGAAACGTTTAAAGGTTGATGTTCTACTTTAATCATTGCAGGTCTGATATTCCCCGCGTGCCTCTTGGTTTTTTTCAGAATGACAAAGATGGCATGAGCGCTCTACACTATGCGGTGGATCGTGTAAGGGACATGTCAGATCCAGGTGACATGGAGCACATGATCAGCTTCACTATGAACATGGTTTCGAAACTGTCCAGCCAACCAGGTATTTTGCCTATGTTGCATGTTTGTTGGATCATACAACATTTTAATTGAGCTTAGTAGTTCAGTAAACATAGTATGCAAACTGAAATGAGACCTGAAGACCTGAAAGCTCTTACATAATTAAATAAATAAATGAATAAATATACAGTCAGACCTCGTTTATCTGGCCACGTCGGGACAGGCACCCATCTGGATATGCGATTTATGCTCAAACACAGCATTTCTATGCAGTTCAGTAGGGTTTATGCATGGGATCAGGAGTCTATCAATATTGATAGACTCCTGATGTGATAGCATACGAGTAGAATGATGCAATTGCTGTGTGAGCAGCGCTCGATACATGTACAAGCGCATCGCATGTTTATTTGTTCATGTTTTGTGCATGTGATATATAGCCGTATATTTATACATGTACATGTACATGGGTGTTTGCTCTCACGGTAAGTGTTTGTTTTGTGCATGTGATAGCTGTGTGCTCTTACGATAATCAATGTGTACATTGCGCGAGAATCATTGGTACATCGTGCAAGTTTTGAGTGAAATGTATAGGTGGAAATGAATGAAAAAACAGAGAACATACACTGCGAGATCGCGGCCGGTTAATAGGTTTCCGGATAACTGGTGGCCGGATAAATGAGGTCGAACTGTATAAATATTATATATTATATTATATATATATATATATATATAATAATTAATAATAAGTATGAATGATTGAGGATGAAGATTTATATGAGTATAGGTTAATTAGCCATGAGGTTTTGTGACAAAACAAGTTTTGTAACATTGCAATCATCATTGCCCTTTGTCTCACACAGATGCAGACTTTGATCTTGTGACCAGGAGTGGTGATTCGGTGTTGGACTATGCTGTTACCAGTATCAATGCTCGATCCAAGAGCACACGGAAAGAACATTGTCAAAAGTGGGTGAGATTGATGGGAGATGTTCGCAACCTACTGGTTAGCAAGCGCGCTTCTAGAGGGAAGGCAAGGATGTAGCTATAATCTGTTATACGCACCTATGGACTGGTACTTATTGAAAAAAATTGATTACTTTATCAAAAGCAATGTCTAAAAACTTACAGTTGTGTGATCCTCGCATCATGGATTATATTTTACACCTTTATATTGTTTTCTAATAATAAATAACTCTCTAATGATTAGCTATGTTTATCATTGGCTGATGGTTAGACATAGAACAAAATATTTTGCTATACCTCCCACAGAATAATGTGGTGTTGATCAATGAAGGCACTCTTCACAACAATTAATTTGCTTGTCATTAATATAAAAAAGGATTTAACTTACAATGTCAATTATCTTAGTTACACTTGGATATTTTTAGTAATTTTAAAATGCTCCAGATATAGCTATACCATTATTTGGGGGTGCGTATTATATCAAGAGCTAATAAATACCTAGAGTGTACAACGGGAAAACGGGAAAATAGTGCTATTTCACGGCAATATTATTCTTTTTTGTATGCGGTTCTAGACTAAGTTCATGGTATTGCGTTAAGCAGCACATTCTTTGCTCTCTGAAATAAGACCAACCGCTTGTCTCTACGATACTCCTAGGCCGAGATATTGGAGCGTAATCATGCCTCCCGCCGCCTCGCATCCACAATATTCACTATCCTTCTCGCCTTTTGCAGGAGCTATCGTTTTCCGTCGCCGCTTAGAATTCTAATAATTGATGTCACATGCCCAAATTTGGTACTCTTACTACACCATATAGTAACTGAGCTGCGTTGTAGAGACTTAATTTAGAAAACATTGCCGGCTCCATCATGACGGGCATTAGCTGTGCTAGGAAAGATAATGGGAGATAATGGTATAGGCGATGCCCCCGAAAGTCACCGATGATAACCGAGACGCCGTTCATTCATAAAGTTTTCGCGGATAAAAACCGAACTCTCACGAAGCAACATTCCTAACCCGCAAAAGGCGAGAAGGATAGTGAATAATGTGGATGCGAGGCGCCGTGAGGCCTGTGGGAGGGGAAGTTTACGAGCCAATATCTCAGCCTAGGAGTATCGTATTGACAAGCGGTTGGTCTTGTTTTAGAGAGCAAAGAATTCTGCTTAATGCAATACCATAAAATTATTCTAGACTCGCAGGCAAAGTAGAATAAGATTGCCGTGACTTAGCACTATTTTCCCGTTTTTCCGTTGTACACTCTAGGTGTTTATTAGCTCTTGATTATATATATATATATATATATATATATAGATATATAGGTGTTTAATAAAGGAGAGCCTTTCTGTGTGTATGTATACCCTTTGACAACTTATCACATGGAAAATATTGGGTGAAGGATTGTGGTTTGCAATCAATGAATGTTCGAACAATTGCAGGCTGGCATGAAAACTAATTCGAACACATCATTTTCTGCATCACAGAGAAAAGACAGTCATTTCTCCAGTATGAATGGCAGTTTTGTGGCTTACAGGGATTTACAAATATACACTTTCTTTTACAGCATATGTCTACTTTAGTACGATATGTGATCATGTGCTGCTCAATTTGTTGCTGGGTGTGTTAACTAAGCCATGCAAAAGAAGAGATGAGGAGGGACATTGGCATTGTTGGTGTTATATTGCACTGTATCCATCCGTGTCTGGTCCATAGACCTATATCACGAAACACCTGCTGGACATGCTCACAGAGTTTGTAAGGAAATTATAGAGAAGGATTGAAGTGGTTTACAGTCGAAACTTACAGTCGTACTACATGTTATAAACGAGCATAATCTTTTAATTCGTGGTGACCAGAATCTGTAAATGAAACTAGAATATCCATTGTAATGAAAATGAAGGCTTAACACATAATGACAACAGATGATAAGTGTAATAATTCATTATATATATATATATATATATATATTATTGATATAAGGGATATGTGTTTAAATTATTAATATATTATAATTATGCTTTTTAATTGAACCTCAATTGATGATAGTAGCAAATGTAAGTGAACTCTTTTGAAGTGTGACCTTGTCAGTCAATAAAATTTGCTTTCCAAAAAATTATCAGTATTAAAAACCTTTGTTGTCAGTTATAAAAACCTCAAGTTTCAGTAGGTTAATTGTCACAATAGCCTGCTATGTTTATATGCAAGCATACACCATATCAAGATTGATGACCGACCTGTTATCATGTACCGAATTATATATTTACCACTGGATTCTATATCTGTCTTATCAACGCAATCATATCTTGCCTGCAATATCTGCCGAGTGTTTGCACACCTGTGAGTTATACAGTTTTATGTTCAATCGTATCCAAAGAGCTTATAATGATTATTATATGCTCTGTCGTATATCTTCTGTTAGCTTTCTATTTTGTTTAGTTTGTTAAAGTTTGGATCAAGCTGTATAGGTCTGCTGTTACAGTATAGCCTTGGCTCTGTGAGGATATTTTTACACTTTGTATAATTCTACTGTGACACCTCATATATTACATTGTAACTCTATGTTACAGTCCAGTTGTGTCATCAAAAATCCATTCAGGTTTCTTCAGAGTTGGTGGTAAAATTTATTCAAACAAATACTTAAATTATAATTAAGGAATTTACAAGGCATTCTAAACGATAATAAATAAGTGTTATTAACAGGCAGTTTGTGCACAGTGAACTCTGGACTACTAGTATTAGAAGCACATGATAAATAACTGCAGTCGAACAAACCAAACATATCCCGTATGCTCAAACCACTGGTTCCAATCGTTTTTTGGCTCTGACCCAAATTGTAGTTATTCGTGTTCAGACCGTCGCTAGTGCTACAACTTGCTACTAAAAGGACTCCAGATTACAACGGGGAAATTTAGACTTGGTGACACCGACTTATAGTTGCGATTCTGAGGTTAAGGGCCAATCTCTTATACCATTGTCATTTGCCAATACCACCTGTTTCTACAATATAGTATTAATTATTATACATTTATTGTTTTTACATTTGCATAAGCATAGCAGTTAAACTCTCTCAATCATGAGTCACCTTTCACAGAAGATAAATACTAAGAAGAAATATAGTACCTTATAGTTATAGCATAGAATCTTAGTGATAGGAAATCATATCAGCGCAGCTGCTGAAAAACACCATGTACTAGAAGTGTAGTTAAGCTTTCCAAACCACACATACATATGATATAGGCTAGCAAGAGCACACCGAGAGTCAATTAATAAACGATATTATATAGATGTGGTAATTACCACAGTGTATACGTTGGCAGGGTCACTCGCTCAAATCTTTGGCTTAGATGAACGAATGAGATGATGATGGTTTGGAAGTATCTTTGTTAAAAAGTCCAACTGAAGTGTCTGAGGCTGTGAATAGAAAACAGAGTCAGTAATAAATGCTCAAGGTGTCGGTAACTATGCAGTAATCTCCATTTCATCAGCAAGTTTCTATATAGAACATACACTTGTAGCCAAGCAGTTAAGGGATTACATAATGATTTTGTAAAATTGTAGTAAGAAATTGTGATTAAGAAACATAACAGCACTATGTAATATAATCAAGAGGATATTATGCAGATGGGCAACGTACTCCATCGATGGCAAATTATTCTCAGATGCAGTGATATGAACAACAGCATCAATTACCATTCCATATATACAAGAGTGAATTGTGAAAACAATTTGATAGTTTTTTTATGGAATTTTCTGTATTTACACTGACGATACTTCAGATTTGGAGGCGAAAATGGAACCCACTTTCAGACTGCCTGACCAAGCATAATTTAAGCTGGTGGTAAAACATAACACACTAAGGACGCTATGATATGGTTTTCACATTACACATAGATTTACATAATCCTGGTAAATTTGAGCTTTACTTAACATACCGCTGGTCGTTCCAACTGCAGCCTGCGCATTTGCTGACTGCCTGATATCACAGTGTTTTCTGGAATGATCTCCTTGTTACTAATACAGCAGCCAGCTCCTATTATGCACCCATTTGTTAACTCGACGCCATGGCCTACCTTGGCTACAACAAACATTAAACAACATGTAAACTTGTTATGGGTTGGCATGCTTAGAGTTATAAATAAGTCTATGCTTACCCAATACACATGCACGATTATTTATTTATTTTTGCTGTTATTGTGAGCAACGAAACACAGATTACACACCAAGACTACAATTCCAGTCCCTATAGTTTCTATATCTCTCTTTGTTATGCACAAATGTTTCGTATACTCACTCTTTGCTTCCAATATATTGTTGTCGCCAAGTCGGACAGCTTCACAATCTGTGATCACCGCTCAGGATTTTTGCTTTGTGAATGCGATATGTTCTATACATAAAACCCATTCTGAGCAGCATTCCGACACAGCACTGTCCCTCTCAGGACACCCCCGACTCATAGCTGCCACCCATATCACAGAAACACCAGATATCCACACATACATCCTAACCCTAACCTCCTAAACCAGAGATAAAGATGCTTTTTTCAGGACAAGGCAAGGATCAGAAACTTAAATCAGAAACTCTAGGACACCACGGCAAGTTCAATACACCAACACAAATATATGACCTATTCCAGTCAGTCAACCCTGGCAAGTGAGGAAAACAATCATGGCACTTGCCATTTGTGCCATGGTTAAATTTGAGCCTGCCTACATGCCTAGAATGTACATCTTTTTTTTTCCTGGAACCACAAATACAAGCCACTCCAGTTCTAATTCTTACAACTACTAAGCTATCCTGCACATATATGCATGCAACAGCATACATATGATGGAAATACAGCAAAAGGATACAACTACCGACTTCGAAAACATTGTTATTGCCTATGGTCATAACTCTCTGAGTAGATGCAGGGTCCTCTCCTTCCATCAGTCTGAAAAGAGGATAAAGCTGCACATGGAATTGCCAATTCATTTTTTTGGGTTGGGAACGATTAGAATTACGGTACCAATAATATTCAATCCAATAAATCGAATATGTTGTCGTTTAGATCATTGCACCAAAGCATAGCAAACCCTGGTACATTTGATTATTCAGTTAATCAGTCCAGGGTATATTTCATGCACATTCTAATACATATATATAAAAAAACACTCCACTTCCTGGTGAAATGAGCAGTTTCTAACTACAGTGGCAAACAAGTTCCTCCTAAATCTCAAATCTTTCCTTTGACTCTCTAACATCTGACCCTTACCTTTAATGTTCTAAATACAACTACTTTTTTATTAAGATGATATACCCTGCACACAAATACTGCATGTCCTTGCATGTCTTCTTACATTATCCCATGTGTTGGATGATGATAGAGATATTACCAGGAGTAAGATAATATAGGAGGAATATGACACTCCAAAACACGTGAAATTCAACATTTGCTTGCCTAATTTTACCGATGATATATTACGTGCAACTCGATAAAAATTACATCTAAATTAGCGGTGGACATCCACCTCTCACTCAAACTTTACTTAGTTTCCATACCTCTTCTTTTTATGGAGATATAGCTTTGAACGTTACACATGGTTCATAGCCGTTTGACTAGGCTTGTATGGCTTTAGCTTTCCTCACCTTCTGGAACTGCTCATGTTATACAGGTGGTGAAGAATGAGTCTCGTTGTCTGGTCACATAGAGTGGCGTATATCTTTCAAACCACCCACATCCGCACCGACGCCCTTCGCGAGGCCGGCAACAGGGGGCATGTTCTTCCGTGAACAGGACAAGAGCGACCATCCTCACACTGCATAACAGCAGTTCGGAAGGCGAGCCGGAAAGGCTAGCACAAGCCATAGTCAAACGCTATGAAATCATGTGTGACGTTCAAAGGTATACTACTCCATAAAAAAGAACGAGGTATGGAAACTAAGTAAAAGCTTTTGCAGGGAGCAGGTGGATGTCCAACGCTAATTTAGATGTAATTTTTATCGAGTTGCACGTAATATATCATCAGTAAAATTAGGCAAGCAAATGTTGAATTTCACGTGTTTTGAAGTGTCATACTCCTCCTATATTATCTTACTCCTGATATTACTACTACCTCTTCATTTTGCAAATGAATGCAAATCAAAGAAGTGTATAGATTATACTGAATATGTAGAGTCCTCACAAGCATATGAGGAATGTAAATGCCACCGGATGTGTGTGCATTTATGCAGTACCTGTTGTATAATGTGCTTTGCTCTTCTATGAGATTTCCCTCTCCAATAACTATTGGTCCTGCTTCCGCAATGATGAGAGCTCGAGGATGTATGACAGTTCTTGCTCCTGTGCAAACACGCATGTGTATTGATATTTTTCAACCATATGTATGGTTTGACCATATGCAATAACAAATACAGTACACAATCTATTATCCGAAATTCTGAAAACCGAAAAGCTCCAAAAACCGAGTTTTTTCGTGGAGGTCGTCTGCACACCAAAGCTCGCGTTTGGCTGCACAAGGTTCACTCCAGAAATATTAATGTTTTTGGCATTACTCATACATATTGTACTGTACCGGTACAGCACCTGACCTCTTAAAAACTTGGGTTTTAGTACTGGCTAGTTGCAGGATGTACGGTATGTATATCTGTACTGTACTACCATTCTGAATTCCGAAACGTGTCTGGTCCCAAGGGTTTTGGAAAATAGATTGTGTACTGTAGGTCTTATGCCAATCAACATTATATCCGGCAAGAGTATTACTTTCTCCCTACTTACTGCAGTTACATTACCTACACTATTTACACGAGTTTTATATCTTGGTAAAACCAAACCTAGACAATGCTGGCACTTAATTGTACATGCAACACGACAGCACATGCATATAGTCTTTCCTAACATCAAATGGCTTTAATTTCAGGATTTCGAAAAATTTTCCCAATAATTACAAACCTTGCTGGTATTGCTTGCATACCAGCAAGTGTCTACATTTAGGCTAACATGTTCACTCGTTCATCATTACTTTCACCTGCATATGCAATGATTAAAATTTCTGTTGTTTTCTTTTCATTTGTTGTTTGTTGTTTCATGTAATATGTCTCTTGTTTCGTGCAAGACCCTATCTGTACACTATGTTAATGGTAAGTTGCATTTTAGTAATAGGGGAGTGGTACCAGTCCAGAACCACTTACATCACAGTAACATATGTACTTTTGTCAGAATTATACCCCGTACAGACTATGAATTTTAGCACGCGTCTGACGCGCGCTAACTAGGAGCGTACAGACTGCATATTTGACCCTACTTTAAATGAGTCATCAGTTCTCCCACCGCTCAGTTCCCTGCTCTCCACGTCACACCGCAGACAGCGAGGTACAGCGAGCGTACAATTACGTGACCTAAATAAGGCTATGCGCATTCGCATTGCGAAACTTAGCATGCGCTAGGCACTGGATTGCGTACAGACACAGATTAGAGCGGGCTATCTTAGTCCGGACTAAGTTAGCTCTGCTTCATTTGCAGGGCTAACTTGGAGCGAGCCAGCGCATATTTGGAGCGGGATAACGTGTACACACTGCAAATAGTTAGCGTGTGTCAGACGAGCGCTAGTTTAATACCATATCAAATTCGTAGTCTGCATGTATGGGGTATTACTGCCTGTGCTGCCACATAAGAGGCAATAGTAGCAACATTGAAGAATGTGGCTACGTATACGTTATTTGCCATTTTATATATGATAACAGCATAAATCCTTTGTAATTTTTTAAAGTCACTCTATTGACATAAAAACCCAGAACTACACCACAGCCTTTTCTGGAATTTTAGTCTGAATATATATACTACCATTGTGCTGCAAAGACAGTATGTGAACATACCAATAGTAATGTAGCCATCAAGTTTTGTCCCTGCACAGACAACTGCTCCACGTGCAATTTTCAACCTGGAACTAGAATCAAAAAGTTATTAAATTAATAATAACCATGACTGTGACATGACTCATCGCAACACCCAAGTAAGTAGACATTGTAGACTGATACTGTATAGAATACCAACCACTTCCCATTAATCCAGGCCTCACAATATGGTTCCATGCAAGTACTACCACCCACTGGGTTGCTAAGAATTAAGGATGTAATTAATTTACAGGCATTACTTTTCGTACTTGTGATACGAGATTTACAGGGCAGTAATTATCAGCCGCAAACATTTCTGTGCAAATCCTGAATGAAAATGAATTGAATTTTCTTTCATCCTTTTGGCTAATTGTAAAATTGAAGCTTTTTCCACTGCGACCCGGCTGCAGTGGTTGATCTGTCTAGTATTTGTCTCTCTCCATCATGGACATAGTCCCTTGGACTTTCTTATCTTACTTTACATATCTTTATCAGGTTATCAGGTTAAAATAAGGTTGCCAGATGGTACCTAGTGGTATAGTGACTTCACTTTCTCACCCACCGCAGATTAACTAACCGCTATCCAGTTAGTAATAGTATATATAGATATCACTATCAGTGGTTGAAAGCAAGAACTTGAGGGTGGGCCGAGAACGTGTCACGTGTTACACAAATTCACAGTGCAGTGCGCGAAATTAGCGCTATTTTGCCGCAGGCCGCTGGTTCAACCCCCCTAAACCGCTGGTTAACCCCCTTCTCCCGTATAATCAGGCACTTAATTGGCCTATTCAACATGTTGTCTATCTTGCCTTCATATCAACAATATTTACCAATTTCCTGACTAGTTTTTACTTATTGATGACTAAGAAGTAAATCATGTTCCAGCAATTCCAGTCAAACAAGTAGAACTCCACTGATAGCAATAAAATACAGAAATACTATAGTATGAGTATGCCTAATAAACACAAAGCTAATACTTTTATTAATAATGGAAAAAATTGAACAAAATTAAGGGCCTGTTCAAACTTGTAAGGGCCTGTTTAAAATTTTGGCTAATTTCATGCCCTGCAGTGTGTGCGAAGCCATGCTCTGATTGCTCATGCCATGGCCTAGCTCTAGAACTATATCCCTTCTCTCCGCCACAGGGCTATAGCACAAAGTACATAGTTTGAAACATATGTTGAAATGGGCAACGAAACTCTTCCACTGCTCCCACGAGGAACGGCTCACAGAACGCAAAATAATCGTGCTTTTTAAGATTTATTTATCTAAATGTATGAACCTGTTACCTACATTTTCGAACACTTTTCACAACTTTACACCATGCATATATAACCATTTATTCCTCAAAGTCTTAGCACTACTTGCAAATTTCGTTCAAATGACCACATCAAAAACTTGGGTATTAAACGTCATCCGAAATGTAGGAAAAAACACGGGGCAGCCCAATTTACTCATGGGGGAGAACTGGCACTTTAATTCTAAACATAAACGATTAAAGGCATAATAAGCCCATTGATTATGCAATGTTGACGAACGCTGGAGTAACTGGGACCTTGTGTAGTTAATAAGTACATAACCTTATAGCAAAACACGTATTAGTTTGTCCAATATCACTGCTGGTTACATTACAAACAAGACTTGAAATCGGTTGTTGATATGTATCAACGTATCATTTACGTGCCGCAAATGTCATCCAGAAGTCGAGCGATGACGTAAACATTTGTGCGGCCCGTATTTTTTGGATGCCAGATGAAATGGAGGTGTCAGCGGTGTAACCACGGCCACGGACTAAACATGGAAATGGAGTAAAACACACATACTAATCATGGACGCACGTGGACAGCCCTGACAAAACGTGCCTTATCACGAGCGTCCATGTTTACAAAATCACTGATTATTAGATGATAGCATTGCGTATGGCCGAGCATGTGTGCGAAAATGTCCGGTGCACTATAAATCTGTATCACACCCGCTTCGCCAGCAGTGGTTTGAAACTGTAAACAACTGATTTTTGCACTGCGGATTTCAATTAGACATTTCTTAGTAACCAGCAGTGATATTGGACAAACTAATACGCGTTTGGATGTAAGATTATGTACTTATTAACTACACAAGGTGCCAGTTACTCTAGCATTCGTCATCATTGCATTAGCAATGGGCTTATTATGCCTTTAAACATATTGCCTGGCAATTAAACCTTGTATGATTCACGCATATAAAAGCTGTCCCCAATTCATTTTCGCAATGTGCGACATGGGTCAAATGTGCAAATGTGGACAGCTCTTATATCCTTGGGCCCATTGTATCAGCGCGACTGCTATATGCCCACACCCGCATGAGTAATGGGCTGACCTCGTTTTTTCTGTGATCCGTTCCTCGTGGGAGCAGAGCTAGCAGTTTCTTTGCCCATATAGAGCTCCGAATTGATGACATGACGGTGGCATATGACAACGAACCCACTGGTTCTAAACAATCATTGGCTCCATAACATTAACTGCGTGAATATGGTGTTGTGTTTTGTACCCGATTGTAACCATCAATCTGAGAGTCATTATTGCAGTTTTTATAGATTTCCAAAGGATGGAAGTAAAAAGCAATGATGGATTAAGTTGATAAGCCTATGCAGATATGTTTTTTTCTATGCATTTTGATGATGAAATCAATGTTGCAAGATCGACTTGCTACCGATGCTTTACCAATGTCTGCAGCGCACACACTCGGAGTGTACCAGTAGTGTGGCCATGGGGAAGCTCTGTGATTGTGTATGAGAATAATACATGGCCCCACATATACTCGCAATGAATGTTTAGAACACATGCAGCTAAACAGAGGAATTGCTCTGACCTGTAATTGGAGGATAAAAATAGAAGTTGTGACGTTTTGTTTTCGCCCGCATGGCTCGGTATTGAGCACACTGGCGCATTGTATGATTGGTATACAGCTGTTAACACCCCCCCCCCGAGATTGGAGCATCAACGCAACACTCGCGAGCTAATCTTTGACCTATTTACAGCCTGGTAGCCCCCCACGGCACGGCACGGCCCACTCGCCAATCAGCCAGCAGCTCAGCTCCAATCTTCCAGGCGCATGCCACACCGCATCACCGATGGGCACAAGAGCCGCTTAGTCCAAGGCTCGACACTAGCGGCTGGCCCGGTGCGCCGGGCGCCACCAAAACTGATGTCGGGCCACCAAATTTCAAAATGTTAAAATTTTGGTGGCCCGATCGGGCCCATCTAATAATAAATATAAGTCTATGTGATAAAATATATGTTTCTTTACGTGCTAACCACAAAAAATAAGACCGAGCAACGCCCAGCTGGATGGGCACACCGTACGCACGTGCCTCAGCATTCTACCCGCCGAAGCAGTACACGCGTTGCGCACGGGCATATTGCCAAGCCGCCAGCATTACATGTGATTACATTGTATCAGGCGTGAACCAGACAATGCGTCTAGCACAATACGCATGTCTCCAGTGTACCTGTGGGAGGCCATGTAAAATGAACCGCTGAGCGATGATAGTTTCGACGGGCCAAAAAAACAATTGTCATAATAACAAAATGATGAAATTTCGTTCATTTTTTTGATGATATTTTGCTTCAAAATGTTAAAAATACGCGACACACATTGCGTCCCGGGGAAGGGCTCTGGTACGCCGCACGCAGGGCACATGGGCCAAACATACGGGGACGTCTGGTCACCCTGATTCTACGCTAGCTGCACTGGCTTGCCTCACTGTTTCGGATCCGCCCCAGCCCGAAAACTGCCACTCATTCCAGTGAGATGATCGTATTTTTTAATCGAAGCTGTAATATTAAAGTGCTTTGTAACGTTTATTATGCATTTTCTCTGTCTCTTTACGCAACGAATATTTGAACTTCAGTCTTAGACATTATGGCCTGCCTTGTTTCTTTTTAAATGCATTGCGTACCCAGTGGCACTACTTCTGGGTTGATTTATAATTAGTGGTTCTACTTTTCTTATTTAATCTGCAATATTTTATTTCTTTTCTTTTACAGCCGTTTCAAAGCCTGCCAGACATTTAGGAACTTTGCTTATGAGATTAAATGTATATGCTTTATTTTTAACATGAAAAGCCAATCGCTGTTAGTTGTTTTATTACAGTTACTTGTTTTTATTATTTTGCATGTCTCTGTGACTTTGATCTTCTTGAACGTCCTGCCACTGATCGGATAGCATGCTGCACGCCGCCGTGTTTAGATGAATAATGAGTGAAAGTAGAAAAAATGCGTAATGCATAGAATTCTGATCGTGAAATTTTGAGTGCCCGTGGAATGGATAATTTTAAATGTATTGCCTCAATCATCAAGTTCAGTGTGTGCCATTCGTGTTGGGGCTTTGTTTAAAGACTTGTTCGCAAGCTGCATCAAGACGGCCCCAATTTTCAAATATATATACAATACGCAGCATTGAAATAATTTTTTCTTTTTTTTTTTTCTATTCGGGTCCACCAGCATTTCATTTTTCGGGCACCAAAAATTGAAAATCAATGATTTTGGTGGCCCGATCGGGCCACTGAAAAAAAAAGTTAGTGTCGAGCCTTGCGTTAGTAGCTGCCTATTATTTGAAGTTAGGCGAGTTATACATTCAGTTTGCTGGCAACAGAATGGAGAATCGTGTCATACGTTTTAGTCTGTATCTCCGGATTGCGGGTGTATACGAGGAAACGATTTCGCACGATGCTAGGCGAATGTACTGTGTACGATTTGAGCTCGTTGGTTGAGTTACGCGTAGTAAATCGTAGGTATTCCAAGGCTAGTAAATGATGAATTTCCCTTGTTTATTGAAGTTACACACCTTTCCTATTATCTACTTCTGATAGTATGAGGATCTATGTCCCCCAGGGTACTATCGGAGGGTACCCTGGGTACGGTTCGATATATCGGAAAGTACCTCGGGGTATATGTCGCTGCGTACCCTGCATTGTCCCACCGTACCCTGACTTTATATTGACGTATTTCCGATGTTGTAAAACTAAAATGTAAAAAAAGCTAGACTAGAGCTCTCTATGCGGACCACTGCGATGTACCACTGCGATGGCTCAATGGTTGAGTGCTCGCCTCGTATGTGGAAGGTCAGGGGTTCAACTCCCGGCAGGGTCATACCAAAGACTTGAAAAATGGTACACACGGCTTCTCTGCTTAGCATTCAGCAAATAGAGTGTGGCAAGTTAACTCGCAGTGCTACCAGTGGACTAACCCCCTACTGTAGCATTTACTGTGAAAGCAGCTGCAGGGCCTCAAGGTTACTGAAACGGAGATAGGTACCGCCCTATGGCTATGCGCCATGTAACCATGCGCTATGCGTATGAAGGCGCGGGAAGCATTTTAGAGCTCTCTTCGTTTAAAAAAACGCAGTGGCTGGAGGTACGGTAGCCGTCGTTCGTTGAACACCCTTTTTGGCATTAGGGTTAGGGTTAGGGTTAGGGTTAGGGATAGGGTTAGGTTTAGGGTTAGGGTTCTAGCTCATCTAAACTCTCAAATCGTGAATTTATTTCCCAAGGCGTTATTTCGAAATCTGGCGCCACTGCCGCCATCTTTGTCTCGTTGAATGAAAGCGAATGGACTCCCGTACCCGTGGGCCGTAGCCTCGAGATATTAAGATACGGCCACCGTACCCGACGGCGTAGCCACTGCCTTAAAAAGAAAAAGAAAAAAAAAGTCAATCATATACTATAGCATATTTTTATTGGATTGCGATGTTTTGAGGTTTCTTCTATGTGATGTGGTAACTTGACAGAGTGTAATGTGTATGGTACTAACCGTACTATGTATTAGTACTACTATTTAATACTATTACTATTAGTATTAGTATTACTATTTAGTATTAGTATTACGACATCAGTTGGCTGAAACTTGAAAGTGCCAAGGCAATGGCAATGCGATGCGGCATGGCATGGGTGGGGTTACCGCGTAAAAATACTAATGTAACGCAGTTTGCCTCATATTCCACTCTGCTAATAAGCCCTGTCATATCTGCATTCTGTACCGAGCGATAAAACCAAAGAAACCTCATAGACAACTCAAAACATAGAAATACCTTCGGGCACTATCACTGGACGCCTCCATTACAGTCGATCGTATCGTATTGTATCGTTGCGTACCAAATACCGTTACCCAACCTGTACTCCGTCAAAACCTCTCTAGATAAACTAGAGTTGTTTCGCTAGAAGCCTATTTCACAATGCATATAACTCATCAGCTGCTCATAATGGGGTAAGGATTAACTCATACAGCATCTAAAATTATACAACATGTAAATTTTACTGATTTATAATTCTGTATTTCATCTCTTTATTCGTATCGTATCGTATCGTATCGTATGTTGTCCCACTCTTGTATTTCACAAGACATCACTTCTTCTGGTGAAGTAGCTCTAGGAAACGGTATTGCTAGGGTTAGAATACGACGTTAGACTTTAATTTAGACGAATATTGACGTTAGTCACACAGCCTGGTCGGGTTACTGGTGAAGGTGTGAGGATATTCTGGGAATGTAAACTTTCATCTCATCATTTTCATTGATTTGTACCTCCAGCATTTATTTCTGCTAATCTTATTCTTTGATCCCTATATTTTAGTCCTCACGTGGTCGGAACTACAGATCGTCATATTACCAGTCTTCAATGATCTACCCTGTGATCTATCCCCATGTTCAAAGCCATTATATAGATGTAACAAGTCTTCTTTATCTCCCCCACTACACAAGTCACACCCGTCATTATCGTATATAATGTCTTGCATTTATACACAAAACAAGAATCTTCATAGGACATTGAGGTCCTATAATTCTCTAATCCGTAATTATTAATATTGATCATTTTCAGTTTTGTTTTTGTTACTCCTTCCCCTTTGTCCCTTTCTATCACGTTTTTTAGAATGGCTTCTTTTACCATCTTTTTCCATCTCATTTTTGATAAGGCGTCAATAGATGAGATCATGAGAATGACACAAGATTTCATTTGCCCAATTTTCCCCCATATTTTAATTGCTGTAACAACACTCTTCTCATTAAACGTCCTTGCTCTAAATTAATTGTATCCACCGCAGCGAAGTCGGCGTGGATACTATGGTTTCATGTCTGTCTAGCCATCGCCGCTGCCACCACCGCAGACACTTTCTCTTCCGCTCTATAACTCGACCCCTAATTGACCTAGCGCTACCAAACTTGGTATACTTACACATCTTGGGGAGAAGGTGTGTCGCGTATCAAAATCAGGTCACTGCGACCTTTATTTAACCTTAACATTGACCTTGACCATATTTCCTTTCCACTCTATAACTCGGCCCCTAATTGACTCGCTACCAAACTTGGTATATCTTGGGGAGAACGTGTGTCGCGTACCAAAACCACGTCACTGCAGCTTTTATTTGACCTTGACCTTGACCTTAATCATATTTCTCTTCTGCTCTATAACTCGGCCCTTAATTGACCTAGCGCAACCAAACTTGGTATACTTACACATCTTGGGGAGAAGGTCTGTCGCATACCAAAACCAGATCACTGCAACTGTAACGACCCTGTTACAAGGCTTCCCCCATCCCCGACGCGACGCGATCGCCTAGCGATGCGAAGCGGAGGTATTGATTGAACAGCGTTGCCCCTGGCAACCAGAGGCAATCAATACAGCCGCACGTGGCCGCAGTTATGGCTGCCGCAGTTAAGATGGCTGCCGAGTGTCGCGATAATGGGGTGCTAGCTAATTGAGGGATTAACACTACAGACGTGAGGTGACTGCAATATATTTGGCATAGCGCTATAGCATTGACCATATTATGACGATAATGCGGGCAGACACTAAATGTTCAGCCATGTATGTAATCTAGTCCAAGTGGCTTAGTTGCCGCTAATCAGGCGTGAATTCCATCAACGCCGAAAGTGGCGGCCATGTTAAGCGCGCGTGACGCGTTCCTGCAGATAGGCGGAGCCACCTCCTGGACGATGGCAAGGCAGAATAGCGGGTCGCTCCCGTTAGGGGCCGCCACCGTCCAGAGCAAAGGTGGTGAAGCCAACCGGAAGCCAACCGAACGCGGATGAGACGGACGCGGTGATTGGCGCACGCGGCACGTGGCTGAGCATGCACCGCGCGCGTGGCGACGCCTATATAAACTGCTGCACGAGCAGAAATCGAGGAATGCTCCTTCGATGCCAGACGCGACCACTTGTACATTGTAACAGTGCTGTGTTGAGTCTAAATTAAACAACTAGTCATGGTATATATTCTCTGAGACTGACTTGTCTTTGTCTATGTCTTTTGGCTACACATACGACATAACATTCCACAACTGTATAGTAACGTAAACATCAACGTTACATCTGGTTCCGTGGAACGGTCGTTTCTGGGTTTCTGTGAGCACTCCCGCGATGCTGGCCACTATTACGATCACGAGCCGTCATCACAATAGCATCGTGTCATCATCGTTCTTACGTTTTCATCAACCGACCGAGACTGACGGACGCATATCACCGCCGGGTATGTAAGGCTGATCTTATTTGCCAGTATAGTCTAAGTCTCTCGTTATGTCTAAGTTACCTGTCGCTGTATTATACCACGTCATTCATCATTGTTGTCGATTTCTGACTTATGCGCGTCCCGTGCAAGAGCTCATTAGTCATCGCGCACCTTCGCACATACCTAGACGGCTCTGCAGCTTGATGATTGCTGCCACTCCTTATGAATGAGGATTGAGTGATCCCGCTGCGATGTGTATGTGTGTTCGTGTGTCAGCGCGTGAATACACCTGCAATGCGTGTGCGTAACGCGTGTGCGTGTTCGTAACGCGTGTGCGTGTTCGTAACGCGTGTGCGTGTGCGCGTGTGCGCGCGTGTGTGTGCGTAACGTGTGTGCGTGCGTGCGTGCAAGCGTGCGTGTGCGTGCATACGCCTACGACGCGTGCGAGAGAGCGTGTGTGTGCGCCCGTGTGTGAGTACACGCCTGCGACGCGTGTCTGCGTGTATACGTGTGTGTGTGCGTGTGTACGCCCGTGTGTGAGCGCGAATACGCCTGTCTGTGCGTGTGAACGCCTGTGTGTGCGTGTATACGCCCGTCTCTGTGCGTGCGAGCGCCTGTGTGTGCGCGTGTGTAACGCCTATGTGTGTGTGCGTGTGTAACGCTTATGTGTGTGTGCGCGTATGTAACGCCTGTGTGTGCGTGTGTAGCGCCTGTGTGTGCGTGTGTAGCGCCTGTGTGTGCGTGTGTAGAGCCTGTGTGTGCGTGTGTAGAGCCTGTGTGTGCGCGTGTGAGCGCCTGAGTGTGCGTGTGTACGCTTGTCTGTGCGTGAGCACGCGTGTGTGAGCGTGTGTTTATACGCCTGTGTGTGCGTGCGTGTGAGCGCCTGTGTGCGCCCGTGTGTGAGCGTGTGTTTATACGCCTGTGTGTGCGTGCGTGTGAGCGCCTGTGTGCGCCCATGTGCGAGCGTGTGTGCGCCTGTGTGCGCGTGTGTGTGTGTGGGTGTACGCCTGCAACGCGTGGGTGCGCAACCGCGCGTGCGTGTGTGTGTACGCCTGTGTGTGCGTGTGTATGTACGAGCGTCTGCAACGCGTGCGAGACGCGTGTGCAATTGATATCATTGTTACTCGAATAATCTACCCCTAATCTCTAACCCCGTTCGTCGCACAACCCCGTTTCGCGCAGCATGCGCTTAACAATTTTCAGCAGTATTGTGGCGAAATAAGCGCCCGAATGGCGACAAATCTCTTTCGCTCCCGCCCGTAGGGCCACAAATTTTTTCACTCTCGCCCGTATAGCGACAAATTTTTTCACTCTCGCCCGTATGGCGACAAATTTTTTCACTCTCGCCCGTATGGCGACAAAATCTTTCACTCTCGCCCGTAAGGCGACCAATTCTTTCACTCTCGCCCGTAAGGCGACAAATTTTTTCACTACCGCCCGTAGGGCGACAAACTCTTTCACTCCCGCCCGTAAGGCGACAAATTCTTTCAATCTCGCATTGCAAGCGATACCGGCTCATCAAAATTCAACGGCTGAAACACAGCCGCCTAGCCGACATTTTTTTTGAGACAGAGACACGCACAGAGACTATCGCTTCATCGTCATTGATGAACCAGTCATCTGTCTAATGGCGACTGCACAATTACGGCCATTACGGCCATGCCATTACGGCCATACGGCCATAACGGGCGAGGCGGTCATTACAACGCTTAAACAGACGTGCTTTCTCGGTTGTTTCTGACGCGCCTGCGCCGATGTCACCTCATACCTCATCAATCATGCCCACAACTCATCGTCGTTCAGCGGTATGGCCTCACGACCCATTTACCAAGTGGTACCGCCTTTGCCTACCGGTGGGGCCTCACAACCCTCGCCCTGAGTAGGCTTCACAACTCATATTCCACATCACTACACATATTCATATTCACCATGCTTCATCACGCTTCATTACGCTTCGTGAGCTACCCTGCCACGTTTTCGGCTACGACGTCGGAGCAATTCACACGCAGATGGTAGAGATCTAGAGATTGTATGACGATTGTCATACGCTGACAAGCCATTAAATCACGCTACTATACGCTCGCACCCAGCATTCGCTGCGATGCAGCAGGACACTAAAGTAGCACACGCACGAAATAAACGCCTTTATGGTAGGCACGCAAGGGTTCATTCCCTCGACATGGGAGACCCCGTCTAAACTTTTAACCCCACGTTGGCAGCCTTACTATACCGTGGTCGACAAACTTTCTCCACTGCCACTTTGTAGTAAGGCACAAGGCCAACAACGTACCTGCGACGTACATGTGTATAATCTTCTATCCGCATGCCCATTCTTGACATGGGATACGCCTAGAACCATGCTTACGGGTAGAAATGCCACACGTCACGACCAATGCGTCAGGGACGCTGGCTGACACACGGCCTCTTTCGTCGCCGCCCCATAACGGCCGACGACCAATGCGTCAGGGCCTCTTTCGTCGCACCCCAACGACGACACGCATACAGCCGATTGCTGTGATGCAAACGGGCTGTTGCAACCCCAAAGGCGTAACGAAACGCAAGCAGCCAGTGTGGCTAGAACGCCAATCACTGATAGCTGTGATGCAGACGAGTTATTGCCACTCGCGCAGTATAGCTGACTGCGCTAA